ACATTGCTCTAACTAAGAATATTATGAGTTAATGTAGAAAACTACATATAATGTCTACCTTGTGTTTTAAATTATGCTTATGCTACATATTTAATTAATTTAGTTTGTATTAATAATGATAGCTTCAGCGGTCTTAAACAGCTGTCTATTATTTGAATGACATGTTACAATAAAATGTTAAAAATATTTATTTATTATTAGACTGAAATAAAGTTGTTTGTGTTATATCATACAATATTTATCATGTACCACTTATAAGTTATAATATATGAAAAAATAGTTATATAAAATATTAGTTTTATTTATCTTTTAAATTAGAAAGCCATCATAAATAGCTGGTGACTACTGGATATGTAATTATTTTATTTGTATGAATATTTCATAGAAATCAGATCCTACACAATTTTTACAACTTCATGGAAGGCCTTGTAAAATTCACTTGGATCCAGCGATAGCTACAGCTGGAGATAGTCCAGCAAATATGTAAGTTAAAATTTTGTTTACAAAACTTAATGAAATGTGGTACAAAAGGTATATATTTCATTAATAGGATGCCATGGCAAGGAAACGAAGACAATCTTATTGACCGTTTTGATGTAAGGGCTCATCTTGATTGGATACCAGAAGCACCAGACTCTATTGACGTAGATATTGCTCTTACTAGTGAAGATAGACATATCAATTACGAACGATATCGTATAATTGTTCAAAATGAATTTTTAGGAGGTCAGAAATTGCATTTAGTTTAATTCTGTTACTTTATTTTTGTTTTTGTTTATTTATTTGTTCAACAATATTTCTTAACACAGTAACGGAAGAAAAATTTCTACATCAAATACATTTGGAGGAACAGTTTGGTTCTTCAACAAAATTAGATTCTGTTAAAGACAAGAAGAAATCTTGTAATAATGTAGCCATTGGATATAATTATGAAACAGAAGAACCAATACCTGAAACAATGAAATCTTTAGATAATGTTGTACCCGATGAAAAAGCAGATGATGAAGATAGTGATATTGATTTAGGTATTAATTTATATTCTGTGAATAATCAATAAAATTATTTATCTCAGATACTATAAACTGAATTCTTTGCAGACATTTGTGTAGATGTATCTCAAATAGAACCATCACAGGCACACGAAATGAATCTAGTAGCACAGAAATATGGACTTCTAGGAGCTGATTATTTTAGTTTTTTAACGCAAGATTTTGAAGAAGCCGAAACGCTTAGACAAGCACGTAAGCAAGAAGAGGAAAAAGCTATGTACTCGGTAAAATATTCTTATTTCTCTAATAGAAAAATTACAAAATTTGTTGTATAATAAAAAGATATGTATTATACAGGGTAGAAGGTCACGTAGGGAAAGACGAGCATTTCGAGAAAAAAAAATGATTGGTCGAGTTATGAGTCCACCCAGGTAATTTCATTTATCGAAAATGTTTATTATTTAATTTAGAAAATGTAATAAACGCATTTTTTTAATTAGTTACGCGGCCAGAGAAAGTCCTGAATATAATCCATATAGAAAATCTTCTTCCAAGTCTCGATCAAGATCTGCATCGCCCGTAAACACGGGACAAATTACTTATATTACAAGTTTTGGTGGTGAAGAAGAAACCCATGGAAGCTCATCTCATGTTACCTCTTCCAATTCAAAGAAAATCAATTACTCTCATCTTAGACGTAGGAGATCAGATAGCCCAGCGCTTAATGAAAGAATAATAAATCGAAAACTTTCAAAATCAAGGTCCAGAAGTTGTTCCCGGTCTGTTAATAAATCTAAATCGCACAGAAACCGTGACAGAAAACGAAGTACATCAAGAATAAGGTAAGTTTAGTTATATACTTTATATTTCTAGACAACACGTCATTAATTAATTAATCATTTCCAGATCAAGAAGAACACATTCAAGACATAGGAAAATTACTAGATCAAGAACAAGAAGCCGTTCAAGACGATCACGAACTAGGAGTGAATCCAGATCTCGTTATAGAAGTTTTAGTAGATCGCGTTCACGTACTGTTTCAAGATCAAAAACAAGATCTAGATCTCGTTCGCGACCAAAAAGATCTAGGAGTTCATCTTCGAGTAGTGCATCCAGATCAAAATCAAAATCAAGATCAAGATCAAGATTACGATCAAAATCGAGGTCTAGGTCACATAATAGAAGTCATTCAAGAGATAGTTATCGACGAAGACATTATTCTCTCTCAAAATCTGTATCCAAATCTCGATCCAGAACAAAATCTCAGTCAAGATCCAGATCAAGATCCAGAAGTCAGTCTAGATGCAAACGATCTCGTAGCATTGAAACTAAGGTACCAGCACTGCCAAGGTAATTAATATATGTACGTTTTTGTAAATATAAAGTTGCTATCATATCTTTCATTCTTGTACTATTAATTTAGATATTATGGTCGTCGTGGAAAATCATCAAGTTCAGAATTAGAATTATCAGATAACGAAGAAAAGATATCTGCAGCAGCACCAAAACCGACGGCTATTAACACTACAAGCATGTAAGTTTAACACTAATTGTAATATATCACGTAATATTCGAGTTGTATTTGAAAATATTTTGGGTTTAAATGTTTTAGGAACAAGCCAAAAGCAGGGTTAAGTACAAATTCTGGTGGCGGACACAAAGTCAGTAAGAACCATAACGCTTACTTAGTCACTTAAAGCACAGACAATAAAAACAGTATATACTCTTTACGTAACTACTTTCTCAATGAAGTATCTCAACAAGTGCTATTTGTTTTCATTCTGTTAGACAGTATAAGCCGTTTATTTTATATCCTCTACATTTCATATTTAATTATTTTATTTTAACATTTTCTGAATATATTATATATTATATATTTTCGTTATTTTCTTTATTATTTAAATTATTTTCTTTATAAATTTATATCATTATTTTTAATTCAAGGGAAGCAATTATAATAACTTGAATTTTTTTAATACAGCAATTAACTTTATTTTTTATTTTGTCTCGATTTTCTTGATTTATGTTATTGATTTTATCAGAATGAAAACATCCAATTTTTCCTAGCATAATTTATTTGTTTCATAGAAATAGTAATGTAAAAGGAACCATTATATAGGATATATTTAAAGTTAAATATAAATTTTCTGGAATTTTAATGTAAAATGTACTATTTTAATTTTTTTTAATCTTAGATTATACTGAATTTAACTCATTATTAAGAATTCATATTAAAATTTCAGAAGTATTTTGTTTTGCTACATATATTATAAAAGATTTTCTGATAACTGGTAACAGACAATTAAGAGTTACATTTTTCAGTCACTGAAGATCACACCCCAGGAGCGGCTTAAGAAGAAAATGCAAGCTTTATTAAATAGGCAATGTAAGTCAAATTTATCTGAACTTTTAACTAATATTATATTACTGTATAATTGAAATATTTATTAGACAAAGCTGATAAAAAGGCAGAGCAGCTTAGGATTGAGAAAATGGAACAACAAAGGCAAGATCGAGAGGATGAAATTCGGGAAATGTCTCTAAAATTACGTAAAAAGTATGTTACGTCATTTTTAATTGTTAATATAATAAGTTTACTGTCTACGGTATACTAGTGATGGGCAGATTAAATGCGCACAGAAATTGTACAGGAGAGAGACTAGGAAAACGTTGAATGTTGATCTCACTACTAATAACCAAATGAATAAAACGTGTGTAAACTAGTATTTATTGTTCCCCACAAGTACATGTCGATTGCACGACCGTGTTCCGCATCCTCACGAGTGCAGTTGTTCATCACTGATTTCTATTGCTGTATTATTATTATTATTGGTTAACAACTTCTAGACAAAGAGAACGAAGGCATCGTTACGAGGGTCATAGTTCTGATTCACATTCCTCTGTATCACGCACACCAAGTCCTGGTCGTAGTCCGCGAATTGTGCGACGAGAAAGAAAAGACAGAGACATGAGGGACTTTGAAAATGACCGCGAACGAGAAAGAGATAGAGAACGAGACAGGCGAGATGATCGAGAAAAATTTAGAACCGAATCTCGTAGAAGATATAGAGATTCACCGCTTCGTTCTTTAAGTCCAAGAAATAGCCGGTAAACCTATATACTATAATGTATTAAATGTATTATGTTTAAATTTACACAAGTTTATTAATATATTTGTCTTTTTAGAGGCCTAGTCGATTATTGACAAGAAAACACAGTTAATCTTCCACTGGATGGACTTCAAATTTTATTAGACACTTCCTGTATTGCATTCCTTCCATAAAATGCTACAAATGTTTTAAGAGGTGCGATGAAAGAAGACGCATATTATAATTATAATTTACAATTAACCTTAGCCATTTATTAATATTGTTTAATCTACAATATAAGATAATAAATACAATTGTTTATTTATATGTACTATTATTATTAAACTTAAACTTTATATTTCATTATTTTAGATCAACTGGATACCATAGTTTTATTTATGTTATTGTGTTTTTAATTTTGTAAGATACTTCTATCATGAAATTAATTTCAGAATAATTTTCAGTAATTAAGGCAATAAGTAAAGTGTCAACATAATAAAATTATATTAATATAGAAATATAAACAATAAAATAATTGCTTCTGTTTTATAAAGTGTTATAACTTTAGAAATATGTATAAATTGAATTATTTTTTCATTATAGTGAATTGATACTAATAATCCTTCATTCAGGTACTTATTTTCAACAATACTAATTTTGCCAAAGTTATAATATCAAATTACTAGCATATATTAAATATATATATCTTTGTAAAAATAATAAAATACAAGAATTTCTTGCTAAAAATATATCAATTATTTAAATTACAGATTCTTAATTTTTTCTTACTTCAAAGAGTAAAATCGATGCAATCATTTAAAAATGATAAAAATATAAACTTAAAAATTTAAGTTATTTTTTATTAGTCTATTTATAAAAAAATACAAATGAACATGCCCTTGTTTTACAGCATGCCTGAGATCTGTTAGTAACTAATATGGCGGAATAGATAGATGTTGACTTTTCAAGTTCCGGATTTCTTTCATTCAAAATATTTCAAGATAATAGAGTTTAAGAAGAAGCAAGTCAGATATTATTCATTTATATTATTATCGGCACGCGTTGCAATTATCACTAAGGTCACGTGTTGTGTACTTAATTGAACCAAGTATTATTAACAATAAGTGCGTATATACATTATCCATTAAAGCAGTCTACTTGGCAAACAACTGTAATTTCAATTTTTAACGCGAATGTATTATAAAGCGTTAGTTATGGGATCAAGAAATACATGATTTTTAGAAATTATTTCGATTTTAAATAAAGATAATACGACTTACGTAATGAGAGTGTTAATATCAATGTTATATGTTCCATCGAAAGGTTAAGAGGTGCGTTTATTTACGATTCAGTGTATTTTATTATGTACATGACTAAAGAAAAGAAAGTAAATAACGTTTGATAGAATTTTCATTCGTTTCAATGTATTTCCATTGTATGGTACATTCAGTTTAGGCTCATTTTTTTTAGAACTTCTAAGACTATTCCACAATTTGAATAATGAACAGGATGTTTTTAAAACTTATATATGATGGATGTTGTACAACATATTACTTAGTACCATAACTTTATGTTAAATTAATAATTTCAATACTCTGTTGTACCATGTTATTGAAATAGCGATCACTTAACGTAAACTCATACACAGAAAATATAAAGATTGATAAACATTTGAGATACAATGACAATATAAGACATTAAATATATTGTTATCAATGTTTATACAGGAACATATTTAAATGCAATTTATACAAACATTCCAATCTTATCTGGATTTTATATATTTATAATGATTTTAAGCATAGTCTATGCATTAAAATAATTAAGTTAACAATACGCAACTACAACTGCGATTCTGTGAACTTTGATTTAATTGAAATATTATAAATTGTCATAAAAAACAATGTTAAACTTAAAGAACCTAAAAATGTGAATGAACCTTTTGAATTGTTATTGAAGTGGAATAAGACACAATCAATTGTTATCAACATTTTATTGAATCAATTCAATATTTGATATGACATTGTATTATTTATTTAATGTATTATATTAATTTTATAAATTAATATTAATATTAAGAACGTGTCTGCTGTTTTAGTCATATGGCACAACATAGTGTTAAAAGTTTGTGTAAATTATTAATTCAAAATGAAGTTATGATAGTATTATATTACACAATGTCAACTGTTATATATTACATATAACTTTAACACACGAGAAAATAATTTCATAAAATGTTACTCATGTATATTTTCTGAATTGCAAAGTGGTTTTAAATAACTAACAATTACTATATGTGCACTTTAATTTTACAAATTAAAGCAATATTTTTTAAACTATTTTTTTGAAGAGTTTACAATGTTTCTTCAATTAATTTAGTGGTTTAGTTAATTTTTCAGAAACATGTGTGATTCAACAAAGAAAATGAAAGATTCGAGTGTTAAGAACAATGTGCAAAATGATTCAACGGATAAGTTGTGTCCGAAACAAAGTACGGATAAAAAGGAGTCTATGGTGAAAAGTACGAATGAGGATGTTCAACGCGCAATTGATGGTTTAAAGGATATACCTGATGAAGAACTTCAAGAATTTCTAGATGATGAAGATTTCATGCAGGGATTGGATGTTGTTGACGCATGGGAAGGTGATGAAGAAAAAGGCCGTGAAATTGAACTTAAAGCTACTCGTGCCAAGGACCAAGAACAAAGACGTCCATCTAGGTAGCATCAATAAAGCAAAATAATTTTTATGTTACTGTTAATTATTATGTAATAATATTATGACATAAAAAGCTAATATAAAGATATCAGAATTAGGTAAAATTAATTGATATTTTTTATATGTACTATGATCTTAATACTTTACATATTTTGCATCTAAAAATATTGCGTTTTTTGTTTTGAATAATTAGTAATATATAAGAAGAAATGATTGCAAGCCTAATTATAGGGACAGACACCGGCGTGATTACAAAGGATCTTACAATCGTGAAAGACCAAAGAGAGAAGATAAGAAACATGAAGAGATACGTCGTGATCCATCTAAAAGCACAAAAGATATTGAAAGGGATAAAATACGTACGAAAAGGGATAATGAAAGTAAACTTTTGGCAGAAAAAGAGAAAGCTATTAAACACTTATTGGATTCTGATAATGTCGTACCTCCAGGTACAGAAGCTGAAGCCATTCAAAGCATTACAGAAAAACAAAATTTAGAGCAAGCACAGATGCATATCCGTAGAAGTCGAGAACGACGTAGAAGCGTAGAACGTCAAAGAGGAAATTCATCGCGACATAGAACTCCGGATAGATTAAGATTAAATTCTCCTCGACGAAAGTCTCCATTAATGTTAAGTCCAGAACGGTGCAGAAGTCCTTTTAAAATAAGCAGTGAAAGACATCGGAGTCCACTGAGGTTTAGTCCTGAAAAGAGAAGAAGCCCAAGATTTAATTGTGCCCGTAGAAGTCCATTCGGTTTTAGTCCAGAACGAAGAAGAAGTCCTATTAGACGACTTAGCTGGGAAAGAAGAACAAGTACAGACAGAAGGTGGAGTGCTGAACGACATAGAAGACGTATGAATATACATGAACGGTGAGAAGACAATATTTCTAAATATGATACTTTGTTTGCGTTATGTGACAGAAAAACTACAGCACAGTCTCGCTATATTAAAATTCTTGTTATACTAGAATTTTGAAATATTTAAATTTAGAAGTCCCGAGTTACACATTTAGTGACAGGACCCTGACTGCGCTGTATTTACTATATTAAACTGTTTTGTAAAATCTCCATAAAATATAAATGTATTGTGAATTTTAGTTTATGAAAATTGTTTATCACATGTAATAAAGTATTTTAATTAAAATATTTAATTGTTAAGCCGAAGAAGTCGATCTCGCGATCGCCAACGAAGTCGCAGTATGGAACGTATTAGAAGAAAAATCAGCCGATCTCCCATTAACAGACGTTATAGTCCTCGACGTCGTAGTAGAACTCGAAGTCGGTCGTTGGAGCGTCGAAGAAAGCGGTCGCCATTTATTAATGAACTTACAAGACAATTGAGAAACGAAGCTATAATGACATCTCATATAAACACTGGGTATGCACACCCTTCGTCTATGGATAGTATATCACCATTGATGAATACAGTTATGTATCCGCAAGAAACAGAGCCTAGACCATTGATGCCAATGCCACCTTACATACATCAATCTGGATTACCACCACCGATGCCATCAAGTGTAACAACCGGTGGACCACCATTTATGAACTTCGAAAACTCATCTCAATCAATGAATTTTGACTCTGTACCATTGCATCCATTACCTCAAACTGAATACGTTTCTGGTCCAGTAATGTACAATCAACCAAATACTAGTTCAATTCAATCTTCACATCGACCAGCACTTCTTCCAGCACCGGTTTCTTCGCCACAGCCTGAGCCTGCTGCGACTGCTGTGGAACACGTACAAACATACAATTCAACGCACGGCATTCCTCCTTCTCGACAGTCTCCACATCAGAATTTTGAATTTTCAACTAAATCTAAGGATGCAATATCTCCAAACTACAGGGAACGCAGATTTACAGATTCTTACAATGGGTATCATGTTTCACAAGAAGAACGATTGAAGACTCCTGAACCACCAGTCATCTCCGACACTAAAGTAATTGTATTATATATTATATACATATATTGTAACAAGAGATTCTATTTTCCGTTTTTGTATATTATTTCTTTTGAAAGTAATAAGCGACATTTATATGCACTGATCAATATTTATATGCAGTTAAATTTTTTGCCCTTTTATTAGAAATTAATATTTACTTTGTAAATTGATTTTACAGCAATTTGAAAAGACGAGTTTATCAAGTCTACTGGAAGCATCTGTTTCCGCTAAAGGTGCGAACATATTTTTACCTAGTTATTATAAGAATTCATATTTACGTATTCAAATTATTTGTATTTTATTTTAACCAATAGAATTAATACTTTACATTTCATGTTTAATACATTTTTTTAGATTCAACTAGTCTACCAGTTTTATATCCAGGTAAGAACAGTTTAATTATTTAAGGATTTGCTTTTATCGTTTATTTTTGCAAAATAAATGATATTTATTTTGAACAAACCATTAAGTCTTGATATATGATCTTGGAGGAGTCTATAAGAACTGGACCAATTTAAGAATTTCTAAATTGCTCAATTTGCAAATTTCTGAATTTCAAAATTTGAGATTTCCATATTTTCAAGTCTCTGAATTTGAAAATTTGTCAATTTATGTTTAGCGGATCGCATAGATAAGGACCATATATCGAGACTGCACTGTACCACGAAACAAGTATTTAACAACTTTTAAATTAATTCAAGAGCGCTGGAACGACACCCTAAACATTATTTTGTTTGAATCTTTTTTCTACAATAGGATTCAAACCTGAAATATTACGACATTGTGAACATGCCCTACGCGAACTGCCTATTGAAGATCCTCGTTTAAAAATGAAGGGACGATTTTTTTATGATCCAAAGAAGAAAAATGTTCATAATGAGCAAGAAACATATTCATCAAATTCTATACTTCTACAAAAAAATAAGAGTAAAATACATTGGGACGAGGAAGAATCATCACATCCTGCTCCTACTAAGCAGAATGTACAAATGCATCAAAAAATTTGCCAAACTGACGAGGTGGAAGTGAGCACGAAATTTGTTCAAGCAACTGTTACTATGGTAGATTTCGAAGTACAAGTTTATCCTCAAGATTTGCAACATGCCATCAAGGAAGAGAAAAGACCTATCATGGATCGTTTGGACTGGAACGTGCGTGAAACGGTTGATTATACCCCCAAGTTTCGAGAAGCTGATGACTTAAGGTGGAGCTTAAGTAACTCCTCTCAAAAGAGAACTTGGAATAGAACAGGATCGCCTCCTCCCAGACGACTCGATGATCGCGAACATCGTACGGATTCATCTTTAGATCATAACTCAAGAAATTTAAAATTAGATTCACCGATAAGAAGTAGAGATAACTTTTCAAGTCATAAAGGCCCTGGACGGGATCATTACGTTCGTGAAAGATATTCGCCAAATTATAGGCACTCTTTAGACGAACGTGACGATTTCCACGAAAGCAGGAGCGACCATAGTCGCGGCGAAAGTCCAATGATGCTGGACGATTCTGCTGAAGAATTAGAATTGGAACATACATTCCAAAGGGGAACAGATTGGCATGGAAGACCAAAACTATCAAGAGGTAGATCAAATCCTTTGATAAAGCCGCATGTGTACAGAGGAAAGCATTCGGGAGGAAGATCTTATCGTGGCCGCGGCGGTTTTCGCGGGAAATTCTAAAATTATTTGTGTAAAGCACAAATTTCAAATATTGTAGAATCATATAATCAAATATATCAGTATATCAGACAAGATATAATCTATTCTTGCAAAAATTTTAAGAAAAGTTACATTAAATTATTTTTTTTTTTCTTTTTTAATTTTAAACGAGTTTTTGTGTCAAGTTATTTTTTAAAGGATATTACTGTAATGCATTTTAAGTATGGATTGAATTAAGCAATAGGTGATAAAATACAAAACGTGTACATGGCAAATACTCTTTGCACAGGTATAGTACCATTATATATAAAGTGTAAATTACAAAGTTATTTGTACGTAACGTTGATTAAATAAACGTTCTATATGACAATACAAATAGTGCAAAGAGAACTATAATTTATAGCATTATAGTATGATAACTATGAGCTTCGCGCATCCTCTAGCTTAGAAGTTATCGTACTCTATGTAATGAACAGTTTAAGAAAAATATTTGATTTTTTTTACTGCGTTTAAGATAGTGATGTGTTTTGTTATGCTATGTTACTGAAAGTATTTCATTCATAAAACACTGAATTTACAAATACTATATAATAAGATATTCTAAAGAATAAATTATTGTTTGCTATTTGAAATGATCAAATTAGATTAACATATAAAAGCATGTAATATGCTAACAAGAAAAGTGAAATACAACAGTTGTTCTAAATTTTTAAATATTTTTCTTTTATTTTATTACTCACGTTTGCACATAACTTTAGGGTATATATGTATAATAAATATATACGTGTTTACATTTAAAAAAATTGACCATGGCAATATATAATTATGTCTGCATTACATTCTTTAAGTAAAAACAAAATGAATAATAAATATGTATTAATTATTGATACATATTTTAAATTTTGAATGTTAAAATTAACTAATAATTATTACATACTTTACATATTATTAGTTAAAATATTATTACATATTATTAGTTCATTTTTAATTAGACTAAAATAATAATAGGAAAAGAGAAAGAATCATGGTGAATCCAAAAATGTCTCATAAAAAGTCAGAACTTACAAAACTGACAAGAGTTGATAGAACCTAACAAAATTGTGGAAAACCAAGTAAAATTAGGAGAAACTTGAAAAAAGCTTGTCTGAGCTTGCCAAGATTACCAAGATACACTTTCGGACAGTCTAAGTTATAAATGATTGTACATTCAAATACAAACTTGGTTTTCTTGGAAAAAAGAGCGTTCAAAGTGGTTCTATTACACGTTTTACGCTTCAGAAGGATAAAATAGGAACCACAGAACGTAAATCGTTTTTTTGTAGTTGAAATTTTTATTCAACTATACAATCATAACAGAAGTACTGCGACGATTTAATGTGCATAAAAGACGATAGCTTGTAAAGTAATTGACTTAAAAAGTTGAAGGCATTTTGGAGGCCTGATTATTGTAAGTATTTTCACATTCAAATTTTTAGGCGTACTATTTGAGAACAATACCTCTAGCGTTATCTAGCCAACAAACGTGGAACTACCGAAATAAAAAATTGTATTTTCTCACAAAATAAAGCACTTTTACGTATTGCCGATAATTGTAAATAAATCTACGGGCACAAGAAAGTAAGAAAAATGCCTTTACAGTAGGCTGGAAGCATTATATTCAACGATTAAAAAAAAATGCATTTATGGACCCGTAACATGTATTTAAATGGGCTGTACTTCCAAAAACCTCCATGCTCTAAACTGGCTGAAATTTCAGGAATGGTTTTTTTTTAAATAAAAATGATGATTTCGAGAAATATTTTTGGCGACTCAAGAGAAAATATTTTATCATTTGGATATCACTCCCTATTTTATCGGCATAGTATTTGCTTTCTACGGTTTCTACAATGGCCACCCCAACAATTAATAACTTTTTGTTTATGTAATTCCGTGTTTTACCTCTAGATTGCGCTAGGTTTTTTAAGCAGCGCGCACAAAAATATACAATTTAAAATGAATCTAAAATCATGGCTTTCAAAATGCTTTTAATCTTCTAAATTAAAAACTTTTCAACACATTATTGTTTTCGAAATCCTTTTTCACATAAATTTCAATGCAAAATTCAATCATAAGAAATGTTAATTTATGTTCTAAACATAATGTGTGTATGTTACTGCGAATGACAGGAATTTGGCAGCTATTTATATAAAATAATTAAGAAGAATATAAATTAATAGACAAATATTTATTAAATTTGTACTATTCATAGTTTATTTACACACTTAGTACATATTTATTAGTAATACTTTTATCACTCATTTCACCAGTATACTACTTATACATACGTGTACATAAGACTGAAAATTTTAATTTAGTTATTTAACAGCGTGTTAATAAATTTCCACTTTATATTTTGTTACTTAATTTTAAATTTCAAAGATAGACACTTAATAACCATATAGTTTCATGCTATCTTACAACTTCTTATATTTAATATATACATAATTTATAGACTTAATATTTTTAAAAATTACTTAAATCTACATACGATATTAAAAGATTCATAAAAAGTTTAATCACTATTACTATTAAATATAGTATTATTCACTTATAAGTTTTTGTAATATTAACTGTTTTTAATTTATTTCATGATTAATTGATAATTAACAAAGAAAAATCATGAATATTTAACTAAAAACATTTTTATCAATGTTTAAATCAACTAAAGTCGGGAAACATTATCAAAACAAAAATTTTAAATAAGTATTGTAAATTTATTTACATTTTTAAATTATTAGTAACATAAACAGCAATATTTATATTTGGAAAGAAAATGATAAATAATAGATAGCAAATCTAAAGATACCTTGTAAAAAGAAATTATACCCCATTGGTCCGAAATTATGTGATGTATGTAGATTCATACTATATACATAATTCAAAACTTATTGAATTGTCGTATGTACATTAATGTCCGTGTTGTTACTTCTGGTAATTTGCATAAAGTAAAGCGTTTGAAATCACGAAAAAGTCGTTCACTACAGTTATTATTGATTATAGTTATAGAAACTTTCTGAGAATCTTTCTTTTCAATTATACATATAAAATCTAAATGTATTTTATTAACTGGTTTTCCTTTATTATAATTTTCTATTGTTTGTTCTGATATAAGAGCTTCTTTTTGCAAACAACTTAAACTAGGATTTAAAACAATACTGTTGTTGATTTTTCTGTTATACCAAACACAATGAGATCCAACACAGCGAAGTTTAACTGTCTGATGTTTTTCTGTGTGTACATCTGATGAAATATCAACTTTTTGGTGCTTTGCTTCTAAGTCATCTGTAAAAACTTCAACTTGTACTTTAAAAACTTTTTCAAGAATATCTTTTATTACGGAACAAACAGTAGAATACCAATTGCTTTGTGTCAATTTTTTCGATTCATTATCTTTACAGTTATCCACACTTTTTGATTTATTGATACATTGAAACTGCTTTGTAGAAATTGAAATACTAAATTTATTTTCAGGAGAATTTTTAAGCAAAATTGTGGTAAGCAAAGTTTTTAGTAGATCTTTATAATCATTTTTACTAGTTGTCGCACAAATTTCAGCACCAATTGCACAGTACTTTACAAATTGGTTTAATGCTGCAAAATGTATACCCATTGTAACATTATGACTTAGTTCTATGGGATCCTGGATGCACATTGGTTTATTAGCATTGAATTTAAGATTTTCATTCTCGTTTACATATGCTTTATACCCATTCATACATGATGGTAAATTTTCTACGTCTTTAAATTCTGATTCTGTATGTATCATTCCATCTATTGGGCATATTACATTTGACTTAAAATTAATACTTGAATAAAAAAGGAAAAAGCCTTGAAGAAGTTGTGTAATACTATTCTTATTTGTTACTTTAGGTAACACTGTATTTTCATTAAAATTAACTTGCCATCCATTTATAATTTGTGGCTGACAAGTTTTTTGAAGTTCCATTAAAGAGGGAACAATATTAACAGTTGGCTGTTGTAAATAAAAAATAATTAATAAAACCAAAGCATAATTAGATATTTTTCCTGAACCTGCTATTTTAAAATGTTTTCCCCAATATTTAATAAGCATCATTAATGGCTTCAATCTATCATCAAGAGAAATATAATATTTTATCAAATGACTTTTATATATACCCAAACTATTTTTAAATGAAATATCACAAGAAACGTTTGTTCGAATATAACAAAATTTGATAATAGGCGTTTTAGCTTTTGGAATTGCTATTATATCAGAAAAAGTACAATTCATTCCATACATTATTTTTTTCACTTCTTTAAAAATCTTTTGCATAGTCCATGAATTTGGTGGTGCACTTTCAGTTTCATATATTGGTTCACCTTAAATCAAGATACCATATTGTGCCATTCAAAATATTGAAAATAATATAAATTGATAATTTAAAAAACTTACCAATGTCCATATATATATCTAAGTCACATTCTTTAAAACCTAATCTAGTTTGAGTCGAACCAAATTTGTATGTCTTGCATTTCGGAAACACAACTTTAAATATCTTATCTAGATGTGTGCAAACAGATTCATATCGTGTCTCTATTTCAAAATCAGTCAGTTGTATTGCATTCAAAAATAGTGTTAGCTGCTCATCAAATGTAGCTTCTCCCTCAAATATATGTTTAATATTATCATAACTTATTACATCAGTATTATTCATGGGATTATTTTGTTTAATCGATTTAGATTTTCCTAAATTAAAAATAATTTTATATATATATTTGTATTTATACTTTTTAAAAGTTCTTATTTATAATACATACCCTCGAATACTGTTCTTTTCCTTATCTTCAATTTAACATTATATATCCAAACTGGTTTGTTCAAAAGAACTTCTGCAGATCGTCTACAATATTAAAAAAATGATATATATGAAATTATTAGTTACTGAAAAAAATTCAGTGTGCAGAAGGCTCTACAAGAAAACCATCAGTATTTTACAGTGTAATATTTTTAAAATTAGAAATTTGCATTGTTAATAATAAAAAAATATTAAAGCAGTTCTCAGATAACAACATGTTTATATTGGTTTCATAAAATAATATATAAATTGAATAAAACTTTTATGGATATGTATACATATATGTTTATATATATGTATTTTACAATAAAAAAATTAAAAATAGATAATACTTTTAAAACAAAGGAAAAGTTATAATAAACATGAGTTATAAATTTAATTTGAAAATTATAAACTAAATTATAATAAATGTACTAAATGTATTTTATTACCTATCGCCAAATTCAATAATAAGGTAATTTGCACCAAATCGATACCACTTAATTGTACCATACTGTTGAAAAAATTCAATATATTCAAGAGAAGGAATAAATTTTGGTAGCGGTGACACAATAATTGACCTTTCGCTAATGTCAACTTGCTGAAATCTCTTTAAATGCTTTTTACCTGCAAGATGACCTTGCAAGGCGTATTCATCTTGAAAATACATTGAACATATATTACAATGCTTTGACATTGTTATTTATATATTAAAAGACTTATATTTTTATCGAATTATAAAAATTTGGTTTGCTCTTTGTCTTTTATTATTATTGTATACTATTAGAGTTTCATAAATAAATATATACATATATTCTCCCATTAAATATCATTAAAGAAACAGTATCATCCTTGTTGCAAAACATCAATCTGTACAAAAGACTTTGCTCAAAGAAATATAAACAGAAGTGTTTATATGCCACATAATATTTATGTAATGCAATTATTTTTATTATTTTGTTTAAATAAATGTAATATTACTTAATACATCAAATTTAAGTCTTGAAAAATTGATAATTCAATCTATTAATCTTTTACTTAATTGTAATTTCTGAAATATTCGCATTCGTTTACTAGTGTATCACTGTCACTTTTTAACGACCTTTAGCGTATAATACGCAGTACATTTAAAAAAAATATATTAATGTAATGTACTACTTGAGTTAATATTTATATAAATCCTTCTTCAAAGTAAAATAATAATTTTATTTATACTCGTATTTTGAAACCTGCAAACAATATAAACAATTCAATTTTTATAAACGATTATAATCGATTAAATATTAATTTCACTTCACTTACCGTAAATAACAGTAATATATATTTATGATAAATATAAAGATTTAAATACGATTAACATGAACATATTTTTACGATTATCAACTTTATTCCAAAATTTACTCTAACCTATGGTTTGTTTTCGTTGCTTACAAATTCTATATCTAGTGGAAAATGTATAGTGTATTTTCGCGTTACTGCTACTAAATGCCAACAATAGTAACGATTATATAGTTGTTTTTGTAGGTGGAGTAACACTCAATTTATAATTTCTCATTATTTGATAAAATGTTTGTAATTTCAAGATAAGTTTGTGCTTAAATTTGTATAAAACCAACAAGCATTTTAAGTGAAACTAGATTTTAAACAAATATTTGAATAAATTGTAACAAGTGCCAGGAAAATTTTCAACAAAATATATGTTTTGATTATATTCACTTATCAATTGATATTACTAAATGTTTGTTATAATGTTAAATATACCTTTCATGAATTATTACGATTTTTGTGTATTTTGTGCACTGAACTCTAAAATGTGATATTATAATGCGTAGCAATATAGAGCGTGGCGATATAACAAGAGTCTATTGTTGATGTTTTCTATAGTATCGATTTTTGTCTTGGTCCCATAAACTTTAGCGGCGGTTCTATACGTACGTATATGTGAACGTATATACAGGGTGTATAAAAAAGGTCGGAACCCTTGAATATTTCGAAAAATATAAGTTTTATCAAAAAATGTTTCAGACAAAAGTTGTAGGGTTTAAAAAGTTTTATTTACTGGCAATATCATTTTGACCTTGAAGAGTCACTGGAAGGTCACTTCAATTTTTTAAAATGGAACACCCTATATATTTTTGCATATTCTTGTAGCTTACCTCGAGAGCTTTCTAAAACACTATGATAAAGTATTTTTTGATTAAAAACTTTTTGAGTTATTAAGGTTTGAAAGTTCCAATATTTTGACAAATTACAAAATATTTTACAAAATATTCATTTTTCAATAATCTTACCCTAATACTTTTATGCAAAGAATAATGAGATAAATTGACTGGCGTAAAGAAAATATACAATTGTTTAAAAAAAATAAATAAATTTGCAACAATTACAAAATGATGTTTCAAAAAAGCTATCTTTTGACATGGATACTGATCATTCCCCACTCCCAGGTACGCGGGAGTACAAGGGGGGTTAAAAATTTTAAATAGAACCTCCTATTTTTTATTGCATATTCTTGTAGCTTATCTCGAGATCTTTTCAAAACATTATAATAAATGATTTTTATATTAATTTTTTTTTTAGTTATGTGTTCATTTGTTTCATACATTACATCTTTTTCATCGTCTCAACGACAATACCAACTAGCGAGTGAGATATCGTTTTATGTAAAAATACTGTAACTTTTAAGCCTCATAACTCAAAAAGTTTTCAATCAAAAAAATACTTTATCATAGTGTTTTAGAAAGCTCTCGAGGTAAGCTACAAGAATATGCAAAAATATATAGGGTGTTCCATTTAAAAAAATTGAAGTGACCTTCCAGTGACTCTTAAAAAATTGAAATTGAAGTGACCTTCCAGTGACTCTTCAAGGTCAAAATGATATTGCCAGTAAATAGAACTTTTTAAACCCTACAACTTTTGTCTGAAACATTTTTTGATAAAACTTATATTTTTCGAAATATTCAAGGGTTCCGACTTTTTTTATATATCCTGTAATTATGTAAACGTTCAATATATTTCAATTATGAAATTTCATATTTAATGCTTATAATAATTACGTTACATATTTAAATATTTTCAATGTTTACGGAAAGAATTTAGTATATATTGATTACTTCCTTCGTATTTTCAAAAAATTTCTTCGTAAAATTTTATCCTTCACAAAAACATTCATGTAAGATGTCCACAACATACAAAGAATTTCTTGGTTCCATTCACGAATACATGATTCCTGCATGTTTTCTTCAACTAAAATAAAATAACAAAATGAAATTATTTTATATATTATTACATTATAGTATAATAGATCTTACATTTTAGAAAAACTACTATAATATATCTTGCAATTTTCTTATTATTACTTCGAATAATTTTAAATATACTCTGAGCATATTTTTGCACATCATTGAATAATTCTTTTATTAAAAGGCAAGCACGTTTTGCTTGTAATAAAAATATTTTCTTCAATATTGATTTAATGGTTGTTTTAGAATTAATTTTATTATCTAAGACAGTTTTTGATAATCTTAGAGTTGAAAAATTAGATAATCTTAACTTTAGAAATCTGAAATAAGATAATTAATTAATACTGAAAGTTGATACTGCATAATCTATGTATAAAAAGAAGATATTTACTTCAAAGGATCTGAAGTTTGTTTGGAAGAAAATATTGAATAACGTAAATTTGTGTTTGAAATATTAGGTTCTACCTCTAAAGTATTACAATTAATTTTATAACCAATGTAAACAATATGATCCACAACTGTATTTTGATCATTAGAAACATTAGTTTGTAATTTGAATTTTTTAAATCGACAATTATATTGTGGTATTCCTTTTACTGTTAACTGTAAAAACCTATTATATAAAAAGAATATATTATTAATATTTACTTCTCTGAATTATTGAAAAAAAAAATATATTATTTGTTGCTTTACTGTTTTGCAGAAACTTCATTTTCAGTTACAAATAAAATATCATCCACATATTTGATAATTTTGCCAGTCTTTAGATACATTGTCATTTCTTTGCGTAATATAAAATCAAAATATATATCTGATAAAATAGGTGACAACATTGCACCTTGAGCAATTCCTTTCCCTATAATATAATGCTTTTCTTGCAGTTTTATCTGCAAATTAATATGTTAATTCCAAAATAACGATACCTTAAACAGTATATATAATACTTTAATAATACTTTTTTTATATTATCACACACCCTTTGATAAAATATATATTTATAAATTTTGTCTAATAACCAACTTTTTTTTATCCGCTGAGTGTGATTTGTGCGCACATACAATGTAGCAGGTGCGAATGGTAATTGCAAATGTGAATCACAAATATACTGTTTATAACATACAATATCATTCATAGCTCTTCTGCTTTTTACTATATAATATCTGAGTATTAAATCTTCAGGAAGTTTATCACAAAGCAATCGTATGATATCATATAATTTTCCTGAATACAAAATAGAGATTTTAAATTATGTCTATAAATGCTTAAACTTATAAATAATTACACCTTGTACTATGGAACCAAAAGCATCCATTACATCACAAGATATAAGATACATCTTTTCATTTTTTAAAAGAGACTTCGTTTGAATTATTGATCTCCATTGCTCTTCAAAAGTATTTAATCCATATTCTGTGATATGTAACTGCCTTAGAAATTTATGTAGTACATGTAAATGTTTCTCTTCATTATTATTTTTATATCTAATAAATAAAAATATTGAAGCAACTTCTGAACAAATTTTGCATTTTATTGGACCATCATAACATAAAATTACTTACTGTGCTACAAATATAGGTCGTACAGTGGAATGCTTAGGATGTGATTTATATATTCCAATTGATGGGTTCCAGTCATTACATTTAATGTCTGGTTGTAAAGCATTTGAATATTTCTTATGATTAATAAATTTTGTATTAATTTTACACCAATCTGAACGTGCTATGTATAATCTTTTATTACTGTTGTTTGGAACTGTTACGTGAAAATAAATATGCAATATTTTTATAAGAAATTCAGTAAAAAACCACTTCACAAATATGGCAATAATAAGCCATTTTACTTTTATGCTTTTAATGTTTTGTGCCCACTTTATGCTAAAAATCTAAATGTAAAATAAATATAAAAATATATTGTAGTAATGTTCAATATAGTTATAATTAGCTTTATTAATCAAATACGATTACATACATCTAATTTGTTAATATATAACGACAAATCTAAAGTTTTAAATCGTGGTGTATTTAGTAGATGAAAAAGAGCTTTCTTCATTTTCTTAATATTTCTTAATTTTCCAAATATATTTAGTGGGACTACTTTAGCAAATACAAGGTCAAAAAATAGTTTCATTTGCTTCATATTAATTTCATATTCACATTTTGATTTCTGATTAAGTTTTTGTTTAGAAATTATGTGTTTTAATATGCTAAAATAATGAAATTTTTTATGTCGTTTTTTAAATTCTTCCAAAAGTGCTGACATTGCTGGAATAGAAGCTTCATAATCAGTAATAATGACATCACTTTTAATCGTGTTTATGATAAATTCATATATTTCATTTCCGCTCTTGGAAGTATCCAAAATACATTGTATTGGAATTGAGCGGCACGTATAACTGGGTAAAATTTGAGATGAATCATATAAATAAATTTTCAATGCTAAATTTGTAAAATAATTAGGATGTGTGTTTGTAATTTCTTCACAAACTATCTGTTTCTTTTTTGTGCAAAACTTGTATTGCTTACATATCCCTAAAATAATAGCATCAATGATATAAACTAAATATTTTAAACAACAGTTACAAATTGACATACTTTGTCCATTGTGATACTGATTTTCATAATTTAAATCAATTGGGGATGAAGTCTGCATTTTTTTCAGTTTACAATGTAATTTCAGTTTAAGTTCATCAAGAAATTGTAAACATTGTTTCAAGGCACCAATATTAGGTACCATAAAAGCACCACACTTATTTTTTGTAAGTATTATTTGATGATCTAAACAGTATCTAATTTATATATAAAAATTAATTATATTAAAACATGGAACGAATATTTATAATAATAGTGAATTAAAAAATACAAACTGTTGAAAATGTGTGCCAAAAACTTCTTTCGCGTTTTCCGCAGTAATATTATCCATTATGATAGTACATGCGATAAAATATAAGTTTGTACTTATATATTTAGGGCTAAAACATAACACCTTTAAGCAACAATAATCTTTTCACGTAAAAACAAAAAATAACGTAACTAACAATGTCAAATTTATTTGATCAAAATAAAAGACTCGCGCATGCGTACTAAATTTAAATCCGTCAAAATTGAAGGAAGGGCATTCTTGGGAATCCTAATGCATTATATAAAAAAGCTAGAATATTACGAACATTACAAAATAAAAATGACTATGTATTTCTAAATTACAGCATAACGTGACAATTTATACCAAGAGAAGATATAAAAGGTACATAAATATTACGTATATTAAAAATCACGACTTAACGCTTAAGAAAAATATATTTGATATTCAAGCTGGTTATTGCTAACAAAGCGATTGTTGGCGCGTAAAATTTACGTTTTTAATCTATAGATTTTACTAAAATAAGGCTCCTATTTAAAAGAGTTATTAAAAGTATTTATATATAACTGTAAATACAGATGTATATACACCATAATATTAAACTGAACATAATTTATACCTGATTCCTAGATATAATTAATCGACGAACCACATTTTTTCTGCGCGTATTAAGTTCACTAGGTTCTATGTGTTCTATAATCTATGACAAAGCGCATGCGCTCGTATTACCATCATGATGCTGATGTATATACTCAGTGGATAGAAAATTTTAAATTTTCGTTGAGTAGCATATTCCAATCGTTTAATGAAATACTTTCTTTTTGTATATTTATATATTTTTTGAATATTCTAAAAAAATTAAATATAATATTTGTATAATTTGTATATCTATTATATCAACACCAGTTTTTATTATTCGTTTATTGTTTTTCACTATGTATATGACCATGAAGACAAAAACTTACTGTGGTGAGAATTTTCATAGGCTGTCAAACTGCGCGAATTGTCGTCTTATTATGTGTTCAATGGGAAATTGTACTTACTATGCAACGAGTTTTGATTCATTATGCGCATGTTCTCTATGATTGGTTCGAGTAAGTTTCGTAACCAAGAGTAACGTGCATGCGCATTCACGACTTTCATGACGCTAAACGTATATACCCAGTGATCTTTCTTTCTGCATTCACTTTACATGAGGTCTGATCGAAATCATGTATACGTGCTTAGGATTTAAAAATTCAAATATTTTGGAGTTTACAAATTTAGGATTTTTGGGATTTAATGACACTCAAATGTGTTCTGCAAATTATGACTTAATCGTATTTGATCCATTCGTCACATTTTTTCTTTATCGACATATTTTTGTCCATCATGTATATAACGAATGATACAAGAGGCGTGTAGTAGTGGGGCAGCGCTAACTGGTGGGGAATCTACAGAAGTTAGCTGAGTTGCGCGATTTGAGTATGCTTTCTTGCTGAACAAAGTATAGTTAGTGCAATCACTCGTGGAACAGACTGTATAGCACCTATGGAATTGGTAAACCTGGATACCGGTAAAGACCACATGGAAAAGACGAAAACATAGCGAGGCAGAGGGGAACGACAGATCAGAAGCGCCACAAAATGGAGATGCGGACATTTCGCAAAACATTCGGCATGGATCGAGCTCCATGTTCGCCCGTGAAAGTGATGCGGTATCTCCGCGATTAGGGGATACAAATCTCGTGTCTAGTGAAAGGACGTTGAACAGTTTTTATGTATCGTTTCGCGCGTCGCAATATGTAATCAGTTACGTTGAAAATGATAAGGTTAGTTTAAGGGTGTGTAATCTTTGCTCGTGCCGGAAAGTAGCGTGGCGAAATAATTCTCGACCCTATCGAAGCGTACGACCAAGTGTCGGTAATAGCGGATCGCGACGGCATGAAGTGATCAAATTTTCTCTACCAAACATATCGATAACAGTAAGAGTAAAAACGTTATTAAGGACAAAGGCCAGAGTAACAACGTTAAAAGTGGTGGCTATAGCGATAGCGACGGCGGCGACAGCGGTGGCGCAAGGTGTGAGGACGAGGTGAATGCACGGCGGCCGCGGTGTGTGCCAGTGGTGTGCGCGCTCGTCGCTCGTGGAAACCCGCCAAAACCC